GCCGAGGACTTTCCGCAAATTGCCGGACCCCCGGCAGCGGAGTCCGTTTGCGGAAGCCCCGCTGCGGTTAAGTCGGAGGTGGAGCTCGCCGCCGCAGTTGCGGCCGCCAGCGCCATGGCCGCCTTATCAGCACGAGTAGAAATTGCGGAGAGAGGGGGCACTCCAACCAGTTCGCAGTCGCGAGTAGCTACCGCAGCCGTGGCGAAGGCCGGAATGAGGGCGCCTTTGTCCGCGAGCAGTGTATCTGCAAACATGGTGGTGTACTCGGCGGAGGACCCGAGGCCGGTCAGACATCCGGCGTAGGCCAATGGCAGACCGGCTTCGAGAGTGGCGATTGCGGAGACGGCAGAGGCCGCCGCCGCCTCTGCCGTCGGCGAGGACTGTCGTGCTCCTGACTCGTTCTACAAAAAAACACATGTAGGAGACACGGGGCCAAAGTGAACTGCTTTTGGGGAAGCCAGAACCTCAATTAGAATAACGCCCATGTTAACCGATCCAATATAAGTAAGTTGGGTTATCAGCCGGGACCGAATCAACATGCTAACTTAACGCTTAGCCGAAAGCCTGGTAGGGCGATGTATGATGCTTTCTATAAAACATTAAAATGGAGGTCGTCCCAGTTGTTCCAAAATCCTCATTGCGCCCGGGCCTAGCAGTTGGCACCCTATTGCCCAATCTCAATTCTGTGGTGAGTCTGAAGAGAGCCTCACCAAAAAGTTCCGCACGAGTCATTTATTATCAACGGCTGCAAGCGACAAAAACAAAATTCGCAGATAGCAAGGGATTCGAATCAACCCGAGCGGGATTGACACGGTCGGTTTAACGTGATACTACTAATATGAACATCGAAAGGAATTTCGCTCACCTCTAGGACCCGTACAGCGCTAAGTAGAGCCATTAGGCAGTCAGTGAAAGCACCCGTGGGGTCAGAGTCGAAGAGCATATCTTCAAGAAGACCCCAAGTCATCCTGTTGGTGGTGCCATCGAGTAGACAGGCAGAGTTGTAGGCATCGGGGATGCAGGGAGAGCCGGTCACCAATTCAGGTGCCGAAGCCAAACAGGTGTGCTGAAAGCCTGGCATGGCAAGTTTGAGCATGGGACCGTATATGTTGAGAA